CTCTCTCTCTCTCTCTCTCTCTCTCTCTCTCTCTCTCTCTCTCTCTCTCTCTCTCTCTCTAACACAAAAAATGCTTAAAAAATTTTAAAGTAATCCTAAATTTTTCCACGCACGAATTTTTTTTTAGATAATAAATTTTACAGGTAGTCGAGAAGATCTGCTTGTCCAAAATTCAGTTTTTATTCATAATGGTGTTCGCCGGAAGAAAGGAAAATTGGTCAGAGGAGACCAGCCATTCCGAGTTTTAAACCGAGAATTATGATTACCTTAAAAATTATTCTTCTGTTTGATCCTTCGTTCTTAGATCGAAATTACAAACATCTATTTTTACATATTTTTTTATTCGATTTTGTGTCCCTTCAACCACCGTCTTCTTTGAATTTACTCGTTCCTCAATTAAGAAATACACGTGCAAATTGTTATATTCTGTATTCGTTAAAAATTTTGCTGCAAATTGCGCTCGTTTGTACGTTATAAAACGAATAAAAAAGTATTGGATGGCATCTTCTCTTGTTCCTAACCTTTTTTTTTTTAACATTTTCTGTCTTTTCTCGAAAAGAAACACGAAACACATTCACATACGTATACATCTTTGCTCTCCTCCCCCCCTCTTTGTCATTGCATTTCGTTCGATATTGGATATCAATCGTTCCAACAATGAAATCCGTCGAAATGAAAAACGATCATCAAAAAGAAAAAGAAAAAAAAAATTTCTTATCATTATAAAAAATCTCCCTTTCGCAGGGAGCGAATATTGCAAATTAGCAATTTTCTTATTAAGAAATGGCAAACCGATTTATCCGACGCAAATTTACGGAGAGAGACGCGAGTTTGTTCCACGAGTTTGATGAACGAGACGAATGATGCTGCATAACTGATATCGATCGTTAATAATGTTGCAGAGTTTTTCGCGGGGCACTCGATACGTGGGGACGACTCGAAAAGAAAATACAATTGCAAATACTGCGGCAAGGGTTTCACCCTTTCCGGTCATTTGAGGAGTCACCAGAAGAGTTTCTGCTATTGGAATCCTAGATCGACGTGCCACCAGTTGCAAAAGAGCCGGCCGTTCTCCTGCGGCCAGTGCGGCGCCTGTTACGCGAAACAGTCGCATCTCATTTTCCACGTTAGGCACGACTGTGGCAGAACGCAGAAATGCCCCGTCTGCGGGAAAACTTTTCTTCACAGTAGCAGCTTGCGCAAACACCGCCAACGCCCCCCCTGCAATTTTCAAACTCGTTAAATCGAACGTAAC